TGGTGGTGTGGCGGCTGCAGGTGCTAGATTGGGTGGATTTGCAGCACCAACAGGTAGGTGAAGTGATGTAGGTGAAGTAGGCTTATGAAGCAGCGGCTGGGGCTGTGCAGAGCAGTCAGTCCATTCCAGCCCTGGTAGCGTTCCGCAATCCTCTGCTGGCAGACTAAACTCCCCCGAGTGTTCAGCAGAGGATAGAGACGGCCGAGTTGCCGGCTGAGCTACAGCGAACTGAGCTACAGGCCGGGGCAGCAGCATTAGCTGTCTCACAGTTCAGTGACAAAACCGATGTCCTTTTTACTCACCACAGCTGGCTGTTGGAAAGACTGGGAATCCGGCTGCGTTGAGGAGCCTGTTCTGAGAAACCATCCTACTCTAAACTTTAAACCATAACCTTAACAAGTATTCCGGATGGGTGAGAGAAAAAGAAGTCAATTTGGCGTTGGTTTTGTGCGAATGCGCCACGTCTGCGCAGAAACATTGGCTAGGATGTTTTTTCAGGTAGGATGGATTCCCAGAACACCAGCAGTGCAAGCGTTGCTCCCCCGACTAGCCTGATGAGCTGTAGGGCTGTATCCCAATTCAGGGTCTGCAGCCTTTAAGTACGCAGCCTTAACAGTCCACAAGGGCCGCGTACTCAAACACCGCTAAGGCCAGAAGTGCGAGGGTTGTAGGATTGTGAAATGGGACGGTCTAGCCTCCGTCGCGCTGCCCAGGTTGCCTAGCAACCATGATACTAACAGCTGGAAATTTTTCATACAGCTTTGTTTGACAGAAATGAAGGAGAAAATCTTTTGTTCATTTGTTTGTTTGTTTTTACATGAGCTCTGATAGATTTTTTTGAGTATCTGAGGCTGAGACCACAGGACTGTAAAAACATAATTGTTGGGCTTCATTTCTGTACTGAACAGTCATTTAAGATTAGCTAGTTAATAACAATTAGCTAATGTTGTTCATGAGACTAAAGTCATCTGTCACGGTCTGGCTGGGGCAGACCGTATGTGTTGCAGAGGAGGACTCAAACGCAGACCAAAACGTGGTGTGGATTAACAAAACAAGCCGTTTATTGAGGCTAGCAACGAGGGTACAAAATAATAGGGCATCGGTGAAAACTAAAACAATAACCTAAACTGGGTGAACTAATAACAAAACATGAAAATCCTTAACCACAGTGAACTGACAGAGATACCTGGAGATGAGACATGGATGAGCAGACGACCTGACAAAGAATGACTGAAAGCACACACACTAAATAGACACAGGAGGATAATGAGGAAAGTGGCAACACATGGAGAAACAGCTGACACATGAACATAACGACGTCACGGTGGGAGAGTAAAACTGAACACGATGAACACAGAAACACCAGACCTCTTCACAATAAAACAGGAAACATAATGAGACGTAGACATGACAACCCGAACTTGACAACGTAAGACACAGACATGAAACACATGAAGAGCAGGGGAGACTTAACATAGTTGGAAACACGAGGGGGAAATAATAAGAACTAGAAACACCGAGGCATGATAACAAATGAACTTAGGAAACCTGAAGGGCTTACATAAACTAATACTCAAAACGCTGGGTCAACAGACCCAGGATCATGACATCATCTCACTTTGGTGATGTAAATATAATATGGCCAACTTTAAAGTTATTATATAAATATATAAATTCCCTCTTTCTTTCCCCCAGTCAAGTCTGTCCTGTATTCAGCAAGTGAAAATAAAATAAACAATAAAAGGTGAATCAAATGGACCATTATGGCAAGGCTGGGATGGTCCACTTGGTAAAGTAAATCCGTTGGGCATCTTTCTCCACCTTTAGACAATAATTCTGATGGCAAAGGAGCCAAACGGGACAGGCAAAAAAAAGGGAAAAAAAGTTATTATATAAATTATTATTAGTTATTACAACAGTGAGCTTGAACTCTGTGTCAAATACTGAGCTTCAGTAAAGATTCAAGTTGCATTTATTTATATTTCCTATCACCTTAAATCTTCACTCAAAGAGAAGTGTCTGTTACAGTGTATATATAGATGTATTATATATCAGAGACAAATATTTTTCTTTTAATATTCCTTTATTGGGTGAGAAAATCAGACCATGTCATAACTGCTTTAAGTCATACAGAATAGATATCAGAGCCTTAAACAGGCTGACTTCTGCTAAATGGGTCAAACTGGGCAGAAAGTGTCCAAACACATAACATCCTTATAGAATATGATGTAACACTATAGATCAACTTACCTCAGAATATATAAAGCATATAAACAATTACAGCAATATGATGCAACAAACACAGCAGTGCTACTAATCCAAAATACTCAAAGCTTCATAGAACTGGAACAAACATTTATTTTTAGGTCCATTCTGCTGCTGATACATACTTTAGGTTTCTGAACATTAAACTTGTTGCTGCCTTTCATAGTGTGTAACTTGAAGGCCCTGAGTACTTTCTCCCACACTGAAAACACTGGAATGATCAAATTATTTGAACATTACCTAATAAGACTGATTCAGGACAGACAGTTATGTTAAACTTTTCCAGCAGTCCTTCACAAACAGGGAACAGTCTGTCTATTTTCTCCATCTGTCAGCTGCTGCTGGCTCTTCCTCCTCCTCTTCCTCACACACTGCTGAGTTTGTCCTGGTGGATCATCAGGGGTGCAAAGCCTCACAGATGATGTGCATCAGTGGGTCCCTCAGTCTGTCCTCACTCTGGACACTTGCAGTTGTCACACATGGAAATCAAATGTGTGATAAGCTGCAGGATTCAAACACAAGTGTAACTTATTAATACATGTTCATACTTTTATTACACAATCAGAGAGAAAGAAAAAGAAAGCGAGTGCAGGACAGACAGACAGGTGACAGTCTCAGGTGTATACACTGCTACAAACAGGAGGATTTAGTGTTTGTGTTATTACGAGTGCTAAACAAGAAGAGTTCCCAGATGGTACAGTGGACACATGTGTGACTCCTGTGATTAAAGCATCTTTCTTTCAGCTTAACAAGTGAACCGTCAGCTCGTTCAAACACACGTTAAAGTCCGTTTGGCTCGACACCACCGAACAGAGGCAGCAATATAACATAGCTAACATTAACAGTGCAGTGAATCCTGCTTGTGCCGTGATATTCAGGACTGCAAACCGAGCAGCATCACTGACTTTCAGCTTGTTGTGTTTGTGGATATACGACTGACTTTAATTATCCATGAAATCACCAGATTCTCTGTAAGATTAAGGCCAACTATTGAACGGCGTATATTTTAAAGGCTTTAAAACCAAGTTAACACAGAAAGTACAAACATCACTAATGTCACATAACTTTGCCGACATGTGGCCAACAGTAATGTTTTAATGTTCTTCGTTATTTAACATTCGCACATAAATAAGTGACACAATATTCGGTACTTAATTTTGAAAGTTTACTCTTCGGCCGCTCCGTTTCAGCTGTCTGCCGTTTTTTTCCGCAAAATTATCCACACCCACTGCCGCGCTATGAAGTCCAGGATATGTTGGGCCATGAAGTGGCCTAAATATATCAACAAATACTTTTGAAAAATATATTAAAAGCTTTCAGGCGACGTTGGATGGCTGGTGTTTATCCTTTGATACACAAGATGCAAGGCGTGCCATCATTAACTATTAAAAAGGTTTGGTGATGAAATATCTGGTTTGAAATACAGAATGGGAGGAAAGGAAAGCATTCGTCTCTATAAGCTTGGTCTAGTAATCGAGAATTAATTTTTCAGAGTTGGGGAAAGGCTTAAATAATTAACTTGATGATATGAAACATCCAGTGATTCCTCATGTCTCTACTTTAATTCTACGTCACATTCATAAGTAATTAGGATACTGTGGGAGCACAAAGAGTGGATGATAAATGATTACAAACCCTTTTGTGTGAGGTAGAAGGTAGAAAACTATGTACTGTAGCATTGTTGCAGGAATGACAGTGGTGGTCAAAGAACAAGAAAAGTTTTGATGTTCAAGATATTGTCATCGTGGCAGACTCCACTACTCCTTGTGGATCCTGGTTGGTAGTGTGGATGGGAGTGGCACTTTTTTTGGCACTTAAAAAAATAGAATTGAATAAAAATGGAAGATAGAAGGAGTTGGAACAGTACGAGTCCCATCACCCCCTGGCTCTATTCTAGCTGTGCACTGCCTACTCAGAAGATGAGAGATTCAGACCGTCTCTTTTTGGGTACTGGGTTCATAGAACAATATTCAAGGCAAGACAAAGATAGGAAGGAGAATTGGGAATAAAACCATCAAATGAGCATTTACACAGACAATACACCATCACCACCAAAAGGAAAATAAAGAAACATAAAATATAATATGTCAACAAATTTGTCTCTCTGGCCATGTTATGTCCCTGCATCAGCTGCACCAATTTTACTGGTTCCACAAGAAAAAGGGACAATACTACACATCCACAAAGGGAACCAGTAGGCTGGGCCTGCAACTACAGCTGTTTTATTATGAAATCTAACTGTTATGCTAACATGTCTCCAGTGTGTGCTGTTATAAAGATGTGTTCTGTTGTTAATGGGGGTGACTGTGGTTCAGGGGGTTGGGAAGCTTCTCTTGTAACCGGAAGGTTGTCGGTTTGATCCCCAGCTCTGTCTGTACTGGTTGTTGTGTCCTTGGGCAAGACACTTCACCCTACTGCCTACTGGTTTTGGCTGATGGCGCGATATGGCAGCCTCGCTTCTGTCAGTCTGCTCCAGGGCACCTGTGACTACAACTGTAGCTTGCCTTCACCAGTGTGTGAATGTGAGAGTGAATGAATAATGGAATTGTAAAGTGCTTTGAGTGTCTAGAAAAGTGCTATATAAATGCAATCCATTATTATTATTATTATCATTAATGATGAAGTCATGTTGAGTTGTGCTGAGGTTGAATCAGTGAATAGTTGTTTGCTGCCATCTTTTTCTTGTGTGTCTGCTGTCTCTGATCTCTCTGTTTGATCTTCTCTGATGTCTCCAGACTCTGTCAGGCTGCTGAATGGTTCCAGTCTGTGTTCAGGCAGACTGGAGGTGAAGTCTAACCAGAGCTGGTCCTCAGTGTGTGAAGATGACTTTGACCAGCAGGATGCAGAGGTGGTCTGTAGGCAGCTCGGCTGTGGGCCTCCTTCGGTCCTCCAGGGGGCGCTCTATGAAGAAGTGGAGGCTTCAGTGTGGAGCAAAGAGTTCCAGTGTGGAGGCCATGAGTCTGCTCTCCTGGACTGTAGAAGCTCAGGCTCAGCTAGAAACAGCTGCTCACCTGGCAAAGCTGTTGGACTCACCTGCTCAGGTAGAAGAGGAGCTGCAGCTTTGATCTGGTCAAACTCACTTTATTCTTTTACTGATGACTCTCTGCTCCTCTCTGCTTTCTGTTCAGATAATGATGTCAGGCTGGTAGGAGGACCCAGTCGCTGTGCAGGTACACTGGAGTTAAAACATCTGGCAGGATGGAGACCATTGTGTGGCTCTCATGATTCCTGGACCCTGAAAGAAGCAGCTGTTTTCTGTGAACATCTGGACTGTGGCTCAGCTGTTTCTATAGAAAAGCGACGCTCCTCACGCACATCTGCATGGTTGATTACACCTGAGTGTGTTCTATCCACATCTCTTTTGAGGGGTTGTGCAACGACAGATTCTTCTTACCAAATCCTGAAACTAACCTGTTCAGGTAATCATACTGATGATATCATCCATGACTTCATACAGTGGGGCAAAAAAGTATTTAGTCAGCCACCGATTGTGCAAGTTCCCCCACTTAAAATGATGACAGAGGTCAGTAATTTGCACCAGAGGTACAC